GCGATGTTCCAGAGCCAGCGCTTACTGTCCGCTCTATTATGCTTGAAAGCTCTGTGAGTGAGTCTGGGTTTGAATAATTTGAATAGGCCATGGTTGAAAGATAGCTGAAGATAGTGAAGGCAGTGAAGACAATGAATACAGTGAAGATGAATATACAAAGTAGATAAGTTGAAGAGAAGAGCTGTAAAGAATTTGGGCAAGTGAAGGCGGCTAAACCCATTGGGGTAAAGTGTCCTCCCCCCACCCCTAGCGGTTAACTTCCTCCCTTTACTTTGCTGTTCAGTTCTTTTTTCTTTCTATCCTCATCTTTTTTTTCCTTCCCTTTTTCCTTTTCTCTTTTCTTTCCTGTTTGGCTTTCCCCCGTAAAGGGACTTGCATGCTTTGGGTTTCTTTGAGCTTTCTCTGCCTCTTTTTGTTGGGCTTTCTACCTCCCCCAACGCCGCTTTGTATCGTTTCAAACAATCTCCGACCGCAGCTTTATCAGGCCACAGAAATACCTCCCTAGTTATTCTACCGGAGCTTCATCGAAAACATAAAAAAAAAACACAAAACAAAACACAAAACAAAACCCCCGCCCAGTTTCCATTTCGGTGTGTCTTTTACCAGCACTGTTTATACCCGGTGCTCTTTGTTTCCCTATCTTAGGTCTTTCTTATTGGACTTCTTCCCACCCTGGTCCCCCGCGGCCTCCTATACCACATATATTTTCCCAGTATTAATTACGATTGTGGCTTCCAGCGACGCTCTGCATTGTCTCAAATTCCGAATTTGACATATCACCTAACGCTGGGCTCTCCCAGTCTGACATTTAACTCCGACTTTCGCATCACTCGCTTCCTCTGATCGCCTTTGGGATATATTTGTATCTTTCCAAACAGCAATCATAATGGCTGAAAACGCTCAAGCCTCGGCTTCCTCTTCTCTCCCTCCCGCGCCTCAGCCCGCTGTCGGTCAAAACCAACAGTACGATGCTCCTCAGGGTAACGGCCAGGGCAACCAGTCCCACATGCCCCCGCCCCCGCGCCCTCCTGTGATCATCCCTCAAAATACCAACCCGATTCCTACCGCCATGACCTCTCCCATGTCCGGAGTCGCTATGATGTCCCCAACAAGTGCTGGTGGATATGTTCGCCGGGCCGCTCCTGAACCAAACAAGAGAGCCCTATATGTGGGTGGGCTAGATCCGAGGGTCACTGAGGACATCCTCAAGCAGATCTTTGAGACCACTGGCCACGTGGTCAGCGTGAAGATCATTCCCGACAAGAATGTAGGTACTCCTGACAGTCAACCCCCTGCATATCAGCTCTCCCCTCGCCCCCTGAGTTACAGCAATGGTGTCCGGATCTGTTATATGTGATATAACTGCCCTTAGTTTCAATCCTTGATGAAATATTGGTAGCTGACTGTTTTACTGGCTCCAGGGGCAATTCACCACCAAGGGCCACAACTACGGTTTCGTTGAGTTTGACGACCCAGGTGCGGCCGAGAGGGCTATGCAAACCCTGAATGGTCGCCGAATCCACCAATCGGTAGGTTTCTTTTTTCTTAAGTGGTACTTCGTAATCGTATCTAATTGCCGCAGGAAATCCGTGTCAACTGGGCGTACCAGTCCAACAGCACCAGCAAGGAGGATACTTCTAACCACTTCCATATCTTTGTCGGCGACTTGAGCAATGAAGTCAACGACGAAGTGCTGACTCAGGCATTCTCTGCTTTCGGTTCAGTATCCGAAGCCCGTGTCATGTGGGACATGAAGACTGGTCGCTCCCGTGGATACGGCTTCGTTGCTTTCCGCGATCGCACAGAGGCAGACAAGGCCCTCAACTCAATGGATGGTGAATGGCTCGGTTCTCGTGCTATCCGCTGCAACTGGGCCAACCAGAAGGGTCAGCCTTCAATCTCCCAGCAGCAGGCCCTGGTTGCTATGGGTATGACGCCTACCACTCCTTTCGGACACCACCACTTCCCAACCCACGGCATTCAAAGCTACGATATGGTTGCCCAGCAGACTCCCCAGTGGCAGACTACTTGCTACGTGGGCAACCTAACCCCGTACACCACCCAGAATGATTTGGTCCCCCTGTTCCAGAATTTCGGCTATGTCCTTGAAACTCGCCTCCAGGCCGATCGTGGCTTTGCATTCGTGAAGATGGATTCGCATGAAAATGCGGCGTCTGCGATCTGCCAACTGAACGGCTACAACGTCAACGGCCGTCCTCTAAAATGCAGTGTAAGCTATTGCTAGTTCTGGAAATACCCGTGCATGTTTACTGACTACCGCAGTGGGGTAAGGATCGCCCTCCTACTGGCCAGTTCGACAACTTCTCTCCTCAGCAGGGCAACGCCGCCCCATTCAACAACAGCCCTGTCGGTTTCTTCCCTCAATACGGTGGTCCCGCAAACCCCATGAATCAAGGTGAGCCGAGTATTCATACTATCTCTCAGCACTTGCTTACTGGTAGAATAGGTCCTGCCCCTGCTGGTCGAGGCTGGGATCAACAATCCAACAACTTCAATGGACCTGCTATGGCTGGCCAGGGCTATGCCCAGGCAGGTAATGCCGGTGGCTACGGCCGTGGTCAGCCCATGTCCCCGTCCGGCAACTGGGACCAGTCCAACAACTTTAACGGAGGCTACCAGGCGTAGCTCGGTTTGTGACAGCCTCCAGTCGGTCTGCTCACATACGACACTTCGGGCATTTGCTCACAGAACTAAGTTTATTTAACATCCCTTCTGTGTTTCTTTCCATAGCACCCTTCTACAATTCCCCCTAACCGTTGATATTTTCTTTCTTTTACTTAAATTGAGTGGATTTTCAAGCGAGCAAGTTGCTTTTGTTTGAAGCGGAATTTGTGTGTTGCGCACCCATACCCCAAGTCCACTACGTTGATTCGGTTCTTATTCATTTTCTGGCTTCTTTTCTTTTCTTTGCCTCTTTTCTTTAAGCGTGCCTCGCGATCAAAGGTTCATTGGAATTTTTGACTCTGTCACGCCCTCAAATAAAAGCGACCTCCCTACTCTTCACCGTATTTGAACTGTTGCCATCTTGTTCATTTCTTTTCTCTAGCTGTTTTATCATTTGAGTACATGTGTTGTATCAAATTTGCTTTCCTGTCATTTCTTAGGCTGTGTTTGATACTCATCTCGACTCAAAAGATGCTTTTTATGGGCCATGGATTTCTCGGTTGACACATTGGTCTGGGCGCTTTCCCACGAGTATCCGTATATGCTGTGATGAATTTCCTTGGAGCAAGGGAACACCATTGATCTTTTTTCTAAGTATCTCTCTGCCTTGTTGGCGTTCTAGCCCAGATACCAATTTGCCTTTTTTTCTTTTACTGCGTTCTGCCTTTTTCTTTAAACTTATTGCCGATGGAATTCTCTTTGTTTGTATATATATGTATTTATGTACCATGTATGATGTACAGAGCAGACGGCGGGTTGCATGATATTATCTGCCCATAGGCTTTACAGGTGAAACTGAACATGTTGTGTTATATGCTCCGCAGGGCATTTGAAGCCAGCCTGGTTTCATGGCTGTTATTATTCATTATAGCGTTAGTTTATAGGTAAACTGTAGCCCTTTTCTCGCCGCATGTGTATGCAGTGTGACAATAAGACGGCATGTTTTAGACGGGGTAGACAATATATATTCTCAACTTTTCTATTTTCCTATCTGTACCCAGGTCGGAAGCCAGGGCTGGGGGTTCACTTACTGATTACACAGTTATATATGGATAGGTGCATACACATAAGAATTACGCTTTCGGGGTATTCGATATTTACTCTTCTAGTTACAACAGGGTGGAAGGGGATAAAAGACACTAGACAAGACAAGGTCTCTAATATCATCTCGAGCCAACTGGATCAGATGATTAAAGCCAAATGTCTCAGTAGTTTTGATCCAGTCTGCCTTTGTGCATAGAATGCCGGTTGCCTTTTAGTATATTGATAAAAGGTACCACAGGTGATGTGCTTTCTTTCTACCGGCACATTAGACCCTTAATATTTCCCTTCCTTCTTCTGTCCTTACCCCAACAACATAATAAAGGCTTAAATATGGAGTTTATTGCAAAGACAGGACCATAAACTAGATTGGCCTCGGGCCTTCCGATTGGTCTGTGTCGTGAGGTATAACAAAAAGTTGTCCACGGCTATTGCTACCGCCATGCTTATCCACCCTATTCTAAGAATGTCTCGAATGTAGACCTTTGGTTGACCATCAAAGTATCTTTCGACTTAAAGATGTTCCTGAATAGAGAGTAACGCATCGATCCTGCATTTTGATCTAGCCCCCGTTGGCTTTGCGGAGCGATACTAACTAGATATCGTGTTAGTACCAAATAGGGCAAGGGACACGATTTTACGCTCTAAATCATGGGCTCAGATTCACAACAGGGTCTTGCCAAGGTTGGAGACTAAATACTTGTAGGCCGAGCGACTCTTCCATATCGAAAGACATTTCTGTGGCCATTCTCGCCATTTCCCGGAGGCTTTTCGATCAATTGATTCACTCCATACTCATCGCTTGCGGAACATGTGTAATTGTTTCGCTTTCCAGACCACCACAGCATTGGCCAATGGCGACATTTTTAACACGAGAAAAAGAACGTACGAACTAAAATCTTACTCTTTCACTCCAGGGCCGAGGGACAGTGCATCTCAAACTGAACAATGACGTCAAGCAAGTTGACATAAATATATATATAAATCCTTGCATGATTTATATTGGAGACATAATTCGCCGGTTGAGCGTGTGACGCTATTGTTGCCCAGATGGCATCGCGATATTGATATATAGTTAGTCACACCTGTTTCATCATTGGTGCCTGATCTTGCAGGCCACAACGCTACTTCTTTAATTTCCCTGTGCAAGTGGCACATCTCTTTTCAATGTGAACGAAGATACCAAAGAAAGAAACGAACACAGACAGTTCCTGAGTTTCACTAATGCAAGAGGATTGACCGAGCTGACGTCCCAGCTCCCAGTTCCACTCGCAATGGACGATGACGAGAGAGCCACGGACTTGGCGGTCCACGAACCATCTCATCGCACGCGATCAGGCAGCGCAAGTAGCGGCCACAAACGAAGCCTTTCCGGCTCCCTCCTCTCGAGACTTTCCTTCCTTCGCGTGAACCAGGCAACCCACACCTCCCTGGACCGACACAACCCAGATATGGATCACGATGGCGACGAAGACCTCCACTCCGGTATGCCACAGAGTACAGGCAAAGGGGGAACAGCCAGCAGCCGGGCAATGTCTGCCGCGCTTGCACAACATCGAACGCGTCGCCGCCGTGGCTCCCTCCGCAAAACCGCATTGTTAGGCACCAGGCTCGAATCACGCGACAAAAGAGTGACCGCTAAAGCCACCGAAGCCCTCGAAGCCCTCCGCGCAGAACCCAACCGACTCCCCGCTGCCGACCTACAAGCGACTATAAAACTAAAAGATCAGATCCTCTCCGATAATGGGCCTACACGTTACTCGCCGCGCGAGAGCGAGGCCTTTGACGACCGCGACAATACCCAACAGCCAGCCTGGTTCAGCGCGGCAAATACCCAGAAACCCATCCGATCCGCAATAAGTCGCCGACGCCAGGGCCTTGCACAGCACAATCTCCAAGAACCAGGCACTGACGACGAGGACCTCGTCTCCTTCCCTCGCCTCCACTCGAATCCAAATCCCACGGCGGCGGGCGCGGGCACCAGCCCCAAGATCGGCTCTACAGCCGGTTTACACATTTCCCCACCATCCTCCAGCTCAGGTTCTTTCTATCCGCTTCAACCTCAGCCTGAACCGGCATACCTACCCGTCCACCGGCACAAGTCCTCCCCCCTGGTCACACATCCGGTTGAAATGAAGAGCAGTCCCGATGTGGACGTGGACTACTCCGAGACCGAGTGGTGGGGCTGGATTATACTGATTGTGACGTGGCTGGTCTTTGTTGTGGGCATTGGAAGCTGCTTTGGGGTTTGGAGCTGGGCTTGGGATGTCGGGGAGACGCCCTATGCGCCGCCTGAGTTGGAAGATGATCCTACTTTGCCGATTGTCGGCTATTATCCTGCACTTATCATTCTCACAGCTGTCATGTCTTGGGTTTGGGTTGTTGTCGCATGGGTTGGTATGAAGTACTTCAAGCATGCTAATATATCCGGGGATGATATTTGATTTTCTTTCTTCTAGCGTATACTATATTATAATACCCTTGTTCTTGTGAGAATTAATTACATGGCATATTTTTCAAACATTCCTTGGTTTTTCGTGGTAGGATGACTGTGTCTTCATACCGTTCGATGGTCAATAGGCTGCACAAATGTTATAGCTATACTGCCGCCATTGCGATGTCAGTTTTTGAATATGAGCGAGGAAAATCTATAAATATCGGAGTGTTTATTCCCAGCAAATAGTCTTGCTGCCATGGCGCCATTTATTCTATCAGCTACATGTGTATGTATGAGCCTTTCTAAATCACAACTTTGCAACCTTCAACTTCCTCAAGCGCAACATACTATCCTGCAATGAAGTGGCCACCAACGTCCCATCAGGGCTCCAAAGATGACTCTCATGCGTCGCCCTATTCTCCCCCGCCCGAGGCGTCCACCCCTCCTGCACGAACCACTTCATAGGCAACTCACTCACTTCGCCAACATCGCTATCGCCAATACTATCCCAATCCACCATCCGCAGAGCCTCCCCATGCTGATGCACAATAACCATAAGCGTAAGACTCGCCATCTCAGCGAAATGCGCGATCCCCAGGGCGCGCGGAATCAGAAGCAGCGAGTTCTTATCGCTGGAATACATGTGCGCACACGCATACAAATTATCATATTCCCCCTTCTCTTCCCTCTCCCGGATCTGCGCCAAAGTCGCAGTAGGATCCTCGTCCGGTGATCCTTTGAGCCGGTATTGCGTGAGCTGGCGATACCGTTCAGGATGTTGCTTGATTTCCTCGGTGAGGTTATAATCCTTCATGTCGGTCTTGCGCACGTCCAGACCGGGAAAATTGTGCTCGGAGATGTTTCCCTGTCGCACAGCATCAATCCACCATTCTGCATCCACGCTGGGACTAGGAGGTTGATCTTCTGGCCGTTTTGCGGAAAGGATTGAATCGAAGCGCGCTTGTGCTGATGTCGGCTGGTGCTGGAAGGGACGCTCCTTCTCATCACGCTTGAAGGAGCATATACACGAGAAGCATATTCTGCCTGCTTGTCGTGCGTCGACGGCTCGTGTGCTGTACATGAGTCCATCGCGGATGTGTCGCACTGTGTACACATATGGCGTGTCGAGCCGGCCCCCTAGGATGAATGTGCCCGTCATATCCTCCCAGTACGTTAGTTTGAGCCTCTTTGGGGACAATTGATGTATATAATCTTACGTGAATTATTAACCCCTGGCCAACAGTCTTGGACGCTGCATAGGCTGATTGCGCGTAGACATGTCCGCCGAACGAGCGCGTTCCCTGCCCAGGATTGTAAGGTGTTGCTAGCGAACGAAACCGCTCAATCTTTTCTGGCTCGGTGGTGTCGGGATGCGAGATTAAGGTATCTTCGAGCCGCTGCAGCGCCATCAACTCAATGAAAGAATGCGGGGACATCAGTTCGCCGTCATTGTCCGGGGCCCCGTGTTGCGGAGACATGGTGCAAAAGAGGTGACAGATGTTCTGATCAAGGCTTTTTCTTCTCCCAAAGTGTACAAGTTGTGCGAAGCAATTGCTTGTCTCGACAGGTGAATTGTTTTGCAAGCCGATGGTTGTCCGATCAACAATATCGGCCCCTGGAGCCGATGATGATCCTCCCCGCGATTGTGGTAAGTGGGGCTAATGAGTCAGGCTTTGTAGGTACAGTCTGCTATTATATAAAGAGAAACCTGTAGGGTGGTGTTGTGAGTAGAAATGGCGGATTTGATAATGGAATGTATGGGATTGGTACCCCGGACTAAGAGGCGGGACTAGCCGATGCCTCGGCTTGTCAATTTGAGTCACGCGTACGATATAGAGGTGAATGTTTTAAATGTAGAAGTTTTGAACAAAGTAATTATATATATTCTGTATGAATCGATTGTCTATGTATCAATAGGACCCTTAATCCAAATTCAGTTTTCGGACTGGTCAAGTAGGAAATGCATCTCGGCTGGAGCATCTCGCTCCTCGGGTTTACATAAATCGAATAATGGTGCCATTCAGAGGGTACCGCATGTCGATCTATATAAATCGACGTAGGGAGAGATATATTGACCGTTTCTATCGGATGCATGGTTTGCTTGCCATGCTGGCCGTTGCCATCTTTTATGGAGGACCGGTGGAGAGATCACAAATTGTAGTAACAGCCACAAAATAGACTTGTAGATCAAACTGGTATTTTGTACAATATGCGCCGATTGTGCTGATAGGCTCAAGTGGCAGTTCCCAATGCCTGTGCCATAATAATACAAAGAACAAAAAGAAAAGTGCTGAAATCCAAATCCACGCTTCTAAATCTGATATCAACAATCAATCAAACTTTCGTCAAAAGAATTGCATCAATTAGATCTGGTCAGTGATGGTGGAAACGTTGTTCCACTCGACCTTGCCATTGATATCCTTGATCTCCTCAAGCTTGTCGCCGAGCTTGACCACGGAGAAGTTGATCATACGCGGGTCGAGACCGAGAGTGCGGCGGATAGATGACTGAACAGAGCCGGAGGAGTCGAAGCGCATGATGAAGTGGTGACCTTCGGAGTATCGGGCCTGATGCTTTGTGGTGACCCTGGGAAGGCGGAAGGCGCCCCAGTTGGTGTAGCCGCGAACGACGCCGCCGGAGCGGATGACTTGGGTACCGGCGTTACGGGCGATTCTGTAGTAAGTCGACGATATTAGTATTCGACAGGCTCAGATGACGGTAACCGCGGTGAAGGTCTCGATTCAAACGTACTCTCGCACCTCGTTGAGGCTGCCCGGGCGGACCTGTTAGCAGGGCGGTTAGCAAATCCAGATATATCTTTGAGCGCCAATATAACAGTCCAATTAACCAAAAACATACAATGGCAATCAATTCGTACAACATGGCATCGAGGGGTGGCGCGCACTAGAGACTGTAATGAAGCAATGACCATTTAAAGCCAGCAAAATCCGACGAGGTTAGCGCGCTGCTTATCAGAGGTCTTGGCATTTCCTTATCGGGGAAACTCCGCCGGAGAAGAGCATCACCTTCTTTCCCTTCTACTTAAACCCTCCCCTCTTCCCATTTCACTTTCCACGCTTCCAATCCCTTTCCTCTATACCTCAAAATGTCCTCCGTCGCTCGTGCCATCCGCCCCTTTGCTTCCAGGGTCCTTACCCAGAAGCCTCTTACCTCCGCCTGCCAGGTTGCGCCTGCTTTCCGTTTCCCGCGGGGAACCAGGAGCTTCTCTCAGAGCCCTCTCTGTGAGTCCCATGAACCCCCCAGTGTTGTAAAATACCGTCCAGGGCAATTCAAAACACCCTTGGACCGGTTCTGAAGCATCACGACCCGTCAAACATACTTTCTGAAGCTCTATGATGTCACATTTTACTAACGACGCATCAATTCGCAATTATAGCCCAGTTGAAGAAGTACACAGAGTCACACGAATGGATTGAGCTGGCCGACGGCGGCAAGACTGGTTAGTTCACTACCGTCCCGATTGATTGGTCTCATACACCTGCCTTGGATTATTGAACCGACATGCCGGGTGTATATGGCCTTCTATAGTATACAAAATATGGGGCAGCGAGATAACTAACACACGCTCTCTACAGCCAAGATCGGTATCACTGAATACGCCGCTCACTCCTTGGGTGATGTCGTCTATGTCGAGCTTCCCGAGGTAGACCTCGAGATCGCCGCCGGCGAGCCCGTCGGCGCTGTCGAGTCCGTCAAGTCTGCCTCCGATGTCCTCTCCCCTGTCGCCGGAAAGGTTATCAAGGGTAACAGCATCCTCGAGGATAAGGCCAAGACTATCAACGACAGCCCCGAGGGTGAGGCCTGGATCGCTGAGATTGAGGTCGCTGATGTTGCTGAGCTTGATGCCTTGCTCGACGAGGCTGCCTACAAACAGATCATTGATGCTTAGACTTGTGGAGTGTAAAGACTGATCGTGATTCGTGATTCGTGATTTATAAATGCCTGCTTATACTGGTTGTGCCGGATGTGGTGAATTTCCTTTTCTTCAAGTGTGATGTCATATCGTCATGTATGCCCAATGGTGACCGATTTCCTTCAACGAGAGCGTTTAGATTTGTCGATCCGTAAACGGATTGATATACTGTTCAACAAGATTTCTGTATATGTGAATGGCTTGTTTTATTTCCTTGTAGAGAGATCATAGTCCATATATCCAAGTGGATGTGTATTCAGAGCTAGATAATGCAAGTCTGTGTACAGGAGGATGATATCATGTATGAAAAATATTACACCAGAAGCTATACAGGAGGTATGGTATCACGGCAGATCGGACACTGGAGGCGAAGTCTCATCCAGCTTTCCAGACAGGCAGTGTGAAAGATATGACGACAAGGAGTGACCATGTACAACCGGCGACTCAAGATGCTTGAGGCCCCATCGGCGACGCTACTTCCACTCGAGGCAGAAAGCGCGGGAAGGACAGGCACCTCGATATCCTGCATGCAGATAGCACAGTCGAACACCGCCTTCTTGCGATCTTTCTGCTGCTTATCGTCATCCTTGGAGTCACTGACTAGATCTCTTTCATCGCCTCGCAGGGATGCAATCGACAAAACACCACCACCAGATTCAAGATCCTCGTCCGCTCCAGATAGATCGCGCAGCATGGGATGGTAATCGTATGCATGCGGCGCCCAGCCACGAGGCACAAAGAAGCGTGGTCCGAGAACGTCCTGGCTGACTAGGATCCAAGCTTGAATCCACACCCATCCAGTCATGATGAATGCGCTTGTGTAGTCGGGGCGGATGAACAACACATTTCCCCGTGCTGTGAGGAAGTACAGGAAAGGGAAGAGCCGAAGAACACTCTGGCCGGCAACAAAGTCCCACCGAAGAGCTTTGCGGCAGTTTCGCATCACGTTTCGGTAGATCTGTGGAACCCAGAAGGAGAGATAGACCGCTGCCAAGAATCGGGTGTAAATCGAGCCGAGGCGTCTCGGCAGAAGGAAAGCCCAGATTGACAGAATGAGCATGCTAAACAGCGCAAGATAAAACCGTGCGTACATTGTTCCTACGTCGCTGCGGATTTGCCTTGGAGTTGGGGGAGTGGTTCGGGTGGCTGGCGGCGGGGATTCCATCTCATTGTCGGGGGCATCTTGGTCGGGCGACAAGATGATTGGGGTAGCCCCGGAGTCCTGCACCGCAGGAGCAGTGGCAGGCAAAGGCAAAGTTTCAGGGCGCGGAGTTGGAGGTGATGGGTTGGGCGGACGATCTCGCTCTCTTCTTTCTGGCTCTTGCACTGCCCATATTTCCATCATGAACTTCATTCCAATGTAACTCACCGACAGGAACGCCAAAAATGATGCAGTGGCCAGAACCAAGAAAGATACAGCTTCGAATAGTTCCAAAACAATGAATGTTAAAACAAATGCATCGCCCAGCGCCATCAATGCGATGGTATAGAAGCTGATCCGACTCCGGGTAGAAGGAGTCGAAGCCTCTTTGATCTGCCGGAGAAGCAGGGTGATCTGTGCAACAAAAACACCAGAAACCACGAAAATGAGATGCGCTGCATATTTACTGTACTCTTCAAGCTTGGGCCCAGTCATATATAGCGAATCAGAAGGAGGGAACTCGGGAGTTCCTTTCGTTTGAAGTATATACCCGCAGTCTGGGGAGAAGACAACGGCAGACATGACCATGAGAGGAGGATCTGGGATTGGCGCTCCCATAGGATATCTGAGCTCTTGCTCCATACGCTCCAATAACAATCGGTCAGCGGCAGCATCCCCGAGCATCACTGGATGCTGCTGCAAGTAGATGATATGTTCACATTTAGGCGCAGGGAACTCCGTCTGCTCTGTTCCTACCAGAGAAGACCAGGGAAACAGTGTTGGGTGTTGATTTTGCTTTTCCGAGATGGTTTCCGACAGTGACTTGAGAAGAAGCTCGTGGGAGAGTTCGTAAGTGTCAGAAGATAGCATGAAATGCGGCAACGAGAAAATCCCGCCAAATTTCTCGCTAGAAGTAGTCAAAACGATGCTTCCGGTGTCTGGAAAGTGTGCACCAAATAACGAGAGGTACCAGGTACTTCCCCAGAAGTCCTCGCTTTCGACAGTCAAACTGGCTCGTATCTCTCTCGAAACTCCACCGCCCACCTGAATCTCTTTGCCACCTCCCTCTTCAAGATCGAAGTAAAATGTGCCTCCATTTCCAGTGATATTATGGCTGAATTCATGGGTGAAGTATTCGTGTTCTTCAGCGATGGCAGTCGTGTTCAGAGGTTCACGGCGATCAGCACCTTCAGTTCTCCGAACCCAGTCCCCTCGAAGCTTTCCGGTGGAGTTGCGATATACTGGAAGCAGAAGCTTGGTCAAGTTCAACGTAGGCGACACGGTGGGGTCTTCTAGACCATCCGGGTGTTCTAATCCGGCATTGGAGACAGCCGATTGTAACTGGTGCCGAGCTAGGCCTTTAACCTGCGGCAGAAGATCCCAAGCATAGCTGTCGTTTGCCCTTAAGCCTGAAAAAGGAAGCCATCGATTGGCGGGCGGATCGAAGTCGCCATATTTTGAACCATTCAACAGCCGAAGGACCTGTCGCTCATGGTCAAGCTCACGTTGCCGTGCCCGATCTTCATCGATCAATGGCGGTCGAGACTGAGAGCTGAGGATAATGTAGAACACTAGCAGGAAGAAGAAAAAGGAGCCGCGGTTATCCATCTATGCCACTGAGTCTCGTCATCGGACTCTTCCTCAAAGACAGACAATAAGCATCGCGATGAAGAGAAACAAAGGACCCGAGAAGAACCGGGGAGCTTGATTAAGTTACAAAGGGAACAAACAGAAAAAAAAAATAATGAATGACGAGCGCAGTATAAGTAGGTGTCTACGGAGCGGAGTTGATGATGTACTCGACCCGGGGAGCCTGCCCGGCGGGCACCCACTCCTTGCTGACTCATGACGCCTCAGACTTGATGGATGGGTCGATATTAACCTTGGAAACGTTCTACTTCGGGATTTTTACCCCGTGAAATTAAAAAAGAGATAGGCAAATTGAAGACTAGTCTTATCCAGAATTTTGAAGAACAATTCAAAAAGATAAGAGATGTCAATGCATCTGTGGCAAGAATTGTCCACTAAATGCGAAGACCCGAATGCTGGTATCAAACCGGTTGAATTTTGGTACAAATAGAAAAACGCATACACACAATGACCATCTCAATCATAATAGCTCTTTGCTTTATGATGCAGCAGCCAGGACACCACCCTCGGGCTTCTCATCCCGTCGCCGACGCTTCTCGAGAATGGCCTCGCGGCGCTGTGCAAGCATCTTCAATTGTCTGCTCTCAACACCCTGGAGCCAGTAGCCAAAGCTTCCACCAACACCAGCGAAAAGAGGGTAGACCCAGAGGGATTCCTTGGCGAGGATCGGACGCATCTCGATACCGAGTTGCCAGAGGCGGACGGCAATGCCTGTGGGATGAACGCGGTTAGTTCCAATGGCCATATAAATAAACTCAACAGTAATGCTTCTTGGTAGGAAGCATTCTTTTGTAATAAATTGGAATCCGGGGAAGGATATGTACGTACCGAAGCCACTCCAGAAGAGTACTTTGTGAACCATGATCGCGGTCGGGCGCGGGGGTTGTGTTTGTGATTCGAGTGCGGAAGGGGATCAGAAAAAAAGGATAAGGAAGGCAGATGGGTGGATCGGTTAATTCAACACCACTGCAGCCGGGGTAAATGGAGGCGGAATTGGATGTTGCCGTCGCAATAGTACAGGAGAGACGAGGTTGAAGCAAATCAGCGGGCCGCAGTTCCCAATCACGGAATAACCATTCTTCCGATAACAGTTGTTATCGCTTATCGTTCGCGCGACTTTGAATCTCCCTCTTGTCCAGGCCGGTCATATTACTATGACTTCTGATGAGGCAATGGACAATTCTCAGGGTACAGAGGATGCCCATTTTGAGTCTAAACGGTCTATTGACATTGAGAGCGTGAAGCGCAAGAAGTTCAAGACCGATGACCTTCCCTTGTCTGCCGCGCAACATGCGGTCATTGACAAACTCCTACATTCATTCAAGAAGAAGGGTGGCTTTGATAGTGTTCGCAAACAAATATGGGCTGACTTCAATGAAGGGGTATGAGGGTTTCCTGAGACAGTGCTTGCGAGAGATTGTTTATATTTTTCTGCGGCTGCTAATCCTATCCGAACAGGAACTTCGAACCGATTTTACCAACAAGTTAGTCGCACTAGCAGAGTCAGAGATCGATCGTGAACCGGCACTGCTGTCCCGTGAGAGAGGAAAAGCAGCGACACTCATTGAGGGCGCGGTGGACCGTGGTGATGTTTACAAGAGCGTGGAGGACTCCATCGACCAATTAGCATCCAAACACCTGGATTTTATCCTCGAATCTGTTCGTGAGATCCGATGCCAGGACGTTGGAGAGGAAGTAGCCGCCCGTGAACTCGAGCTAGGGAACAAAACCGATGCAGATTACGAAGCCTACGTCAGTGCCCAGCGGGAGAAGCGGGAAAAAGTGTGGCGTGAAGAGGAGCGCAAACAGAGGGAGATTGAGGAGGAGGAAAAACGCATCAGGGATGAAGAACGTAAAAAGAAGCGCGAACTTGAACGCCAGAAAGATGACGAAGACCGGGCCCGAAGAAAGGAAATTGATGAACAGAGGCGAGCTGATCGTGAGCGCCAACGCGAAGAGCAACGTATTCTCGACGAGCAGCGAGAACGGGAGCGAGACGAAAGATATGAGCGACGAAGACGAGAAGATAGGGAGCGATATCGAGGCTGGGACCGCGACCGCAGTCGAACTCGAGATAGAGACCGTTTCCGTGACCGCTCTCCAGCCTACCGCTCTGACCGTGGCTTATCCCCTTGGCCACGGGACTCGAAACACGACAAGTCATCTACGTCTAATGCTCCAACTCCTCTGCTAGCGCCGCTTGTGGATGAGAAATCACTCGAGGAGGCTGCTTTGCAGATGCTTTTGAAAGAAGGGGAAGAACTTGCAGCCAAGGCTCGACAGAAGCCCGAATTTGACTTTGAAGAGGCCGAGGCCATTGAAAATGGACTGAAACCGCCAGGATCAACATTAGGGCCGACCAAGAGCGCAAATGATTCCAGATTTTCCAATACATCTACCAGAGCAGCCAGCATTTCTCGAGATACTGACGCAAGGCGTGGTTCACTTGCAGACCGGGGTGATCGGACCCGACATTTGACACGGGATCGTAGCCGTAGTCGCTCGCGCCGACGGCGCACATCCCGTTATGACGCAGACCGTCGACGTGAACGGTCCCGGGATACTTCTGTGAGATCTCGAGATCGTGATATGGATGCACGCCGTGGCTACCGTGATTTCCGGGATGAACGAGGTGGTGGAAGCTACAGACCAAGCCGTCGCAGCCGCAGTCGATCCGGCGGTCGGCGTGACCGGGACCGCAGTGTTGGCCGAGATAGAGCTAGAATACGGGATCGATCGTGGTCCAAAGACCGCAGCCGCAACCGAGACCGAGACCATGACAATTATCGCCCTCGGCGCAGTCGGCCCTCTCGCTCACCCGTACGCCGACGTTCTCGCAGCCGCTCACGCTCGCGCCCTCGCGCTCGTGACCGCCCTCGGTCTCGTTCTCGATCTACTCGACGGAGATCTCGGTCTCGGCGTCGCTCGCCTTCTCCTACTCTAGATATTGACCGATACGTGCCCTCCACCAGCAACCGGAGCAAGTCACCCCGCCGCCGGGTCCGATCTCCAGAGCGAGAGCGAGAACCGCGGCCCCGGTTAGCCGACATTGATCGTTACAAACCTTTATCTGAACGGGACAAGGATCTGATTCAACCAAAAGAGGGAGATCTTGAGGTTGGCATAGAAAATGAAAATGAAAAAGACAAAGACAAGGATACAGACGATCGCCGACCTCGTCGACGAACCCCTAGTCGTCGGAGGAGCCCTAGCCGACGAAGAAGCCCAAGTCGACGAAGAAGCATAAGTCGACGACGAAGTCGCAGTCGCAGAAGGAACCGGAGCCGATGATTTTTACGCGATGTTTTGCCTTGTATAAAAAGACCAGAGAGGCGACCAGAGAGGCTTTTTTACGGGCTTGCTTTTTTTTGAATTACCTTGTAATAATAACACATATAGTTAGAGGGGCTCTAGCCATTTGAATGCTTACGATCTACGATTTGTGCTCTGAAGTGTTCATTCTAAGCTTAGAGTTGAAATCTAGATCACATGGATAGATGCATCGATAGCCGATAAGCTTATCTATTATCAGTTCTCCACCCAAAAAAGTTGAAAATGCCCGACCTCCAACCAGGCTCACCAACTTCCTTCCGCTCTTCCAAGACACAGACAAAATCCACGGGCTATTGGACACTGAGATTACATTTATCCATATAAATAAACTCGAAATATCTTGCCAGAACCCATTTCAACCGTCGACCCCCACAGCAGCGCATCATAATCTCCCAGAAATCTCTGCGAGTCCCAGCAAACCGCATACCTCCAAATATCCAAAACATGACCAAAGCGACGACAAGGTCTGAGGCTGCTGCAAGAAATTCCCCTCCACGATCCCTCAACTTAACAGACCGTACCGCGTCTCGTCGACAGCGCGCCAACTCTGCTCAATCATCCGACTCCGACCCAACCTCATCCTCGGGCTCATCTTCGGAGGACAACAGCGAAAGTGAAGATGAACAACACTCTGACCAAGAAATGAATCGCAACGGAGAATCGAACACCCACGCACATACCTCTAATACCTCGTCCTCACTACCTCACATCGCCGGCCGCCCGAAACCGCGCATACACCGCATGCAAGGCGATTCGGATATTTTGTCGCGGCTCAACGCTTTCTTGCCGAAGATGAAGGATGCAAATGAGGATTTGCAGAGGCAGATTGAAGCCGGGGAGGCTGGAGATCTGGTTCTCGATAATGCAGATGAGAAAGGGGAGCAGTACATTGAGATGGTAGGGTTTATTGATTGTGCTTGATGGTTTTGATTGGCTTTACTAACCGATATCAGGATCTTGGTCTTGGGGTCTTGGAAGAGAAGCGCGACGGTGACTCTTCAAGTGATGAGGAGAGTGATGACGAAGAGCCCAAGGGTACCACCGGGGCTGAAAAGACCCCCCAGGAGATGAATGACTCGGATATCATTGGGAAGCTTATGGGAGCTAAGAATAAGAAGTCGAAAACGGATAAGCCGTCTATCGAGGAGATGGCTCAATAGACCCTGTTTAGTTTGGTGGGTTGCATTATTATGACATTTGGTTGAGATGTGTGGTCTTGATTCAATCATGGCGATTGACTGGCCTGGAATTTACTTGCATATCGCGGGTTCCTTGTTATCACATAGCGTTTAATGCTTTGCTTTTTTCCCTCTATGGAAGGGGCTCCAAACCAAATTGCATGCACAAAAACACCCATACATTTATCCCCTATGTATGCCACTCGTCAGAAATCAAGTCTAGATAAAAGAAGAAAAAATAGTAAAACTGAACACGAGCATATCGCGAATCTCTATATATGCATGAACCATCATACACTTTGACCGAATGACATTATTAAAAAGTGATAATTTTGCGTTTCGCCGTGTTGTTATTTAGACCACTTCCTTGATGCGGCAAGTCCAGCCAGATTCCTGGCTCAGAAGAGGCAAGCTGTAGCAGGTCAGTATGCTGATTAGAAAGAAAAGGGAAGGATTGAACTAACCTCGCACCAAGACACCAGCCTAGCTCGTTGTTCTTGATCTTCTTGGCGATCTTGACCTCGCGGGACAAGGGCATCTCGTAACCGGTGTGCAGCAGACCCATCATGAAGCTGAGGTCCATACACCAATCCGGACGATCTCGAAGTTGCACGAGCGCATTGTCCTCACCCTCGAACTTAACGGCCTCAAAGCCCTTCCATTCACTCTCACCAGCACAAACGGTGGAGGTCAGCTGGTTGAGTTCATCCAAGGTGAAGGATTCCGGCATGCCAAGAGGAGCCGTGCGGTCGAAGAAATAAGAGAAGATGTACACGTCCTCTCGAGCGAAAGTCTTCGAGAGCGAGGGCTGGTGCACGCCGTTGAAGGAGCAGGGTGCAAGCTTGCACTCGCCGCTCTTCTTCAGAATCTTCTCGGCGATACCACGGCACTGGGCGGCCATGGACTTGTCCTTCGGGCCGACCATGGTCACTTCGACTTTAGGTCCCAGGGGATGGTCAGCGGGGAATTTGAGTGTAACTGCCTTCTTCATTCCAGGGCCAATGCAGGGATTAGAGATGGGCTGATCAACCCAGGTCAGGTCCTTGGGGCTCTGAGCTAGCATCGCCTCCACGACAATGGTGTTCATGGCCTCGCGGGCAGACATGAGACCATATCCTAGATGAGAGTGCTGGTATAGCTCGAATTGGCGTCCACCGAAGTTAAGGTCATACTTGTGGTCACCGGCGGCGAGGTGCTCCGGCATACCACCAGCCTTGCTCTGCTCGAAGGTAGGCTGGAAGACAATCTGAGTGGAACCGCCACCCAGATCAAAGATAGCGGCCGTGGGAGTCTCATCCGGGCCACCGATCTTGCCCAACAAGTAGTTCGTCGTAATCCAAGCGTAAACACCTTCGTCCGAACCATCCATGATCTGGACACCGCCCTTCTCCCTGGATACAACAGGGAAGGGGTAGGCGGTCTCCAGGCGGTGTCTTACGGCTTCCAAAATTTTGTCGCTCATTTCAGGACCAAGAAGACGAAGTCCGGCCGTGGCCTTGACGGCAACCGGAGAGCACGATCTGTACTCCTCAGGAACTGACTTCACAGCGACATCCATAAGAGGGTCCAGACTCAGGGCTGCACCCTCAGCATCCTCTCTAAAAGAGCTGAGACCGGAGCCTCCCTCCTTCTTCTTCGTTTGTTCGAACACCTCGTTCTCAAGTTCTGGGGTAGAGCCGCAGTTGTTGAATCGGTACACATGAATGCGAGACCCAGTGCTCCCGGCATCGATCATAAGAGCATACTGGATAAGAGGTTTGGACGAATCAAATGGCTTGGTGCATCTCGAAGTGGACGCGCCACCGCTTGAAGGTGGTTGCTCTGCCAAATAATCAGTTCTGCGAACAGTAGCGCGCGAGGGGGATACCGACCGTTGGTAAGACTCGAAGTACTTGGCTGGGACGGGGAGAGCCACACCAAGACCATAAAGATAAAGGCAATGATTGCCCCCGTCTTCAAGTAACGCGATCTCTGGGTCTGTGCCATGTTGACGGGTTGTTTTTCGGAGATTTGATTGTTTTCAATAAACTGCGAGAAAGCAGATCCGTCGCTGCGGGAGATGGAGCGGTGACGGCTGGCCGAATCTATGTAGTATGGTTTGCTGTTATGGTTTTGATTGTCGACTCCAGTCGACATTCGAGCAGTTGTCGAATTATAAAGGTGCGATGACAGGTGGCGTTTGTCGCTGGCGCAAGAATGGTTGAACGATCGTGTGGGGTTAAGAGTAAGAAAGAAACAGCTAAGCAACCATTGATCCCGATGTCCTCCAAAAACACCAAGCCGGTCTTGTAAGAAAAAAAGTGGTTGGGTGTAAAAGGGAAATTGTCAGGAGAGAAAGGAGATTCAGGGTTTCAAGGTTGTGGCGCAGATGTGGCGTTGAATGCATGCATGATGTACATAATACAAACCTCGAGGGATAACTTCCAAGATCTACATACCCTAGGAATGTATGATATAAGATCAAAACATATTTCTCTTCTATTAAAACTCACCTTCTACCTTCCTGCATAGTACAGAGAGTGCAACTTGCATTGTTAGCGCGTAGTACATAATTGATGGATCTATTGCCACCTGCGCAGTATATTCCGACTCCCAAACTGAGGGAGAAACGTCCATTCTCCATGTATTGAGATAACCGACTTAGACTATTTACCGGATGCCCTTGCTGTGCAGTAATTCTAGACTACTTGATAAGTACATAGCCATTATGAATTGGCCGGAAGCATCTAGACTTGGTATGTAGGTAGTCCCGGGGCCAGCGGTTGACAAATGTTTGTTATGTTTGCATTCAGCGTATTTGACTTCCCCGTATTAGCGGCTCATCGACTGTTCAGTTTAATTCCCTCCGTGTTTTATCGTTGCAAATCATTATATTTCTCTTCCCTGGTGAGGTCGCCATCCTTATACGGCCCCTTCTGTATTTCCCGCTACCGCCCGACAACATGAACCACACACGCGGTCTCCTATCATCCGCCCAGGCCCTACGTCAGATATTCACTACATCCGTTCGCAGCTCCAGAGTTGGCATTCTTCCATTCAGGCTTGTTCAGAATGCCCCCCAGTTTCGATTTTTTCAACACTCTCGCTGCCTAGAGGCTCGAGAATATCGACCACCCGTCGAAAAGCCCCCGATAAACGAAGCTATCCGTGCGCCATTTGTCCAGGTTGTGAACGATGAAGGCGACCTTGACCCTCCGACCAGACTAGAGGATGTCCTTGAAAGCTTTGACCATGCCGACTACTTTCTGCTCCAGGTGCAAGAAGGGAACTATGACAACCCGCCAGTTTGCAAGGTCTACAATAAGAAAGAAGTGCGAGCACGTGAAAAGGCCAAAGCAAAGTCAGCTCGCGAGACCAAGGTTACATTCAAACAAATTGAGCTGAACTGGGCAATCGATCCCCATGACCTGTCGCATCGCCTGAAGCAACTCTCGACCTTTTTGGAGAAAGGCCGCAGGGTGGAAATCCTATTGACCACCAAAAAGCGCAAGCGCAACCCCACAGTTGATGAGATCAAACAGGTGATGCAGAGTGTGTTGGACACAATCAGAGAGGCCGGTGGAACTCAGACCAAGGCAATGGAGGGAGAACCGGGAAAGCAGCTCAAGATTACTGCACAAAAGATGAACTAGCGGAGAAGACTGGTCACATGTATATTATATGGCATTGAACTGTACAACATGGCCTCAGTTGTATAAAGCTGTTTGTTATCACTGTGAAGAATATGAAAGGATATGAACTTGTTGGATCCGTACACCATGATACCTGATGTCATTCCTATATATCTTGGAAGTAACCCTGGAGAGCTTGGGTTGTTGAGGCCCTCCAAATTGAGACAATACCACTGGTCATCAAGAAACATCCATATAACTAACTATACGTTGAGGTTTTGTCTCTTATGTTCAACAGTCCGCAATTCGAGGCCCGTGATTGGTTGATGACTAAGCCCGCCCTGAGGATCCATCCATCCCGGAAGCCATCTTACTAAAAAATTTGGTGTTGATCTGGGCTTCTTCTCTCCCATCCTTACTCCATCTATTTAATCTTTCCTTTTTGTTCTTGTTCCATCGTTTTTGTTTCGATTGAACCAAGATGTCGACCATCTCCCGTTCATTGAACCTCCTGGCGCGCACCAGCCGGTCCTCCCTGCTGCGTCCGACTACCGTCAACCCTGTCCACCATGTCTTCAGCAACAAGGTGGCCGGCCGTGGATTGGCTACTGCTTTCGAGCGTAACAAGCCCCATGTGAACATTGGTAAGACCCTATCGCTGGCGCATCATTCGTCTCCATGCTAAAGTTTATTTTCCAGGTACCATTGGTCACGTTGATCACGGCAAGGTAAGCTATTCGCGACTTGTTCCGATGTTTCCGCCATCCGAATATCGATTTTAACCCGTACGCCCATAGACTACCCTGACTGCCGCCATCACCAAGTACCAGGCCTCCAAGGGTCTCGCCAACTTCCTCGACTATGCCTCCATTGACAAGGCCCCTGAGGAGCGCAAGCGTGGTATCACCATCTCGACTGCCCACATTGAGTTCGCAACTGAGGACCGTCACTACGCCCACGTCGACTGCCCCGGTCACGCCGATTACATTAAGAACATGATTACTGGTGCCGCCAACATGGATGGTGCCATTGTCGTCGTTGCTGCCTCCGACGGTCAGATGTACGACCCCCAGTCTAGAAAATTAGTTTGAAGAATGTGCTGACGCAAATCACGCAATAGGCCCCAGACCCGTGAGCACTTGCTGCTTGCCCGTCAGGTTGGTGTGCAGAAGATTGTTGTGTTCGTTAACAAGGTCGACGCTGTTGAGGACCCTGAGATGCTTGAGCTTGTCGAGCTCGAGATGCGTGAGCTGCTCTCCTCTTACGGATTCGAGGGTGAGGAGACTCCTATTGTCTTCGGCTCTGCTCTCTGCGCCCTGGAGGACCGCCGCCCCGATATTGGTACTGAGCAAATTGAGAAGCTCATGAAGGCTGTCGACACATGGATCCCTACCCCCGAGCGTGATATGGATAAGCCTTTCCTCATGTCTGTTGAGGAAGTGTTCTCTATTCCCGGCCGTGGTACTGTCGTCTCTGGCCGTGTGGAGCGTGGTCTCCTGAAGAAGGATACTGAGGTTGAAATTGTCGGTGCTACCGACTCCGGCAACCCCATCAAGACCAAGGTTACCGACATTGAGACCTTCAAGAAGTCCTGTGACGAGTCCCGTGCCGGTGATAACTCCGGTCTCCTGCTCCGTGGTGTCCGCCGTGAGGACATCCGCCGTGGCATGGTCGTTGCTGCCCCTAACAGCACCAAGGCCAACAATAAGTTCCTCGTGTCCATGTACGTTTTGACCGAGGCTGAGGGTGGTCGCCGTACTGGTTTCGGTGCCAACTACCGCCCCCAAGTCTACATCCGTACTGCTGGTAAGTTCAATTTCCGCCGATCTAATTCAATATCATGTCGAGACAAGGGATACTAACTATGCTCTAGATGAGGCTGGTGATCTTAGCTTCCCCGATGGCGATATGGGCAGACGTGTCCAGCCCGGTGACAACGTTGAGATGGTCCTCAAGACCCACCACCCCGTTGCTGCCGAGCCCGGTCAGCGCTTCAACATCCGTGAGGGTGGCCGCACCGTCGCCACTGGTCTGATTACCCGTGTCGTCGAGTAAATGACCCGCTCACACCCATGGTCAGACAGGCGAAGTGTCTGACCCTTGTATTATGAACCCCTTTTCTTTAACATCTTGTTTGTTTTGGCACCTTTTATTCCACAGCGCGGGAATCATTGATCAGCACGAGGGATCCGGGGGTAAACCGGAGTTTTCGCTTGAATCTTGTTCATGTACCTCTACTGTCTTGGAGATGTAGTCGGATTTTCTTTCATTTCTCCACTCCCGTGAAAATGTATTCAGATCAAATTCTTCCTAGGCTCATATATAATTTTAGTCCATGTTCAAGTCAATGTACGATATTCCACTACTCGACCCTCATTTGGTCTATTCTATCATCAGAACGAATCTAGAAGCTATGTACATGCTTAAATGAGTGATATGAACACTTGACTGGCGTATCTTCCTACGCTATCGTAGTAATCACAATCCGTCCGTCCTGTTGGTACCGAAGAACGCTATACCGGTCCTTTTGACTGACTAATGTTTTGCCCAATGCCCAATGCCTGATCTCCTTATCGTTTAACAATACACACATGTACGCTGCAAATTCTCAATAATCTGGGCGTAGTCAGGCATAATCAACCATTGTAATAGGCCTTCACCACTTCCCTTTTTCAACCTTGAAATCTTTCGGTGCCCACTGGCTCATTAGGCCTTACCGGCCTCCAGGGCTCTTTGTAGTATATTGCTTCTAAATCATATGGTGGTGTAAACGGGTTGAGCTCTGTTGCATATGTATCTACAGCACAAGATAGCACAACTATGTGCTTCGTACTGAACAGCCATTTTCAGGTGCCATTAGACAGCCTCGAAAAGTACTAGTTCAATATGCAAGGCAATATATTAAAGCAGGAATGTCGCGATGCTTGCCCTTTGGAAAACAATGTGCCACAGTCTACATACTTCGAAAAGAAACTGAAAGGTGGGATTCGCCGAGGGGGCTCGGCTCGGACTTATAGATAGCTTAGCGCGCGGACATGGGGTCTTCCGCTATTCAACTCTCTTTTCTAACAGTGATCCAATTCGACTCACTGGCTAGTGTCGACACTATACAGAGCTAAGCCTTGGAAAGTGCGCCTAGGGTGCAGCACGACAATTATAGTGCTGATGTACGCTGTGGCACCTTGGCCTGTAGCGCCTAGCTATATGTTGAAGAATGACTCCAAAATTCGCCCCGGATAAAATGCTAAGTTATAATAAAATACTGTTGTACAAATATATTTACCTATGCCTTAATCAGCACCACACTAGTATTTGCTCCGTCGGACTTCTCTCCTCCGATACGAAGTGCGGGGGTAGAACTAAGTATACTCCACACATCAAGCATATCTACAAACATCAGGGCCTGCCTTTACCTTGAAATATACCCAACAGCCAAGCTATGGATACTTTATCAAACCAAGACTTGCATCCTTGAACTGGAACTTTCCATATAGTAGATTTTTCGGGGTGCGTGTTAAGCGTCGGGGGTGTCTAGATCCATCTCTCATTGGTTAAGTTAGTTCCACCTGTAGTTAACTATTTATCATTAGGCCTTCTAGATCATAGTTCATATCAGCCTACTGATACGCTATCGTACTGCGTTCGCTTACACAGTTCATGTTCATTCGCGTTTTCATTGCTAGTAGCCTCACCTCGTAAATCAATCCGGAGAAATGGAAAAATGTAACCTAAGTGTGATTATATTAAATATACTAGGAAGAGCTCCACAAACGATACCGGATAAAAGGAAACAAATCCTAGCACAATATATAAATGGAAAAGCCATGGGCGCATGTGTAGCGGGCTTTCCTGCAACTTTTGTTATTTTATTCGAAGATTGCGGCAATATTCTATACCACCATGAAGCATCGAGATGATCTTGGATCTGTGGCCGGCAGTGGGCCAGCGGCTACAACACCATTGCAAGCTCAAGATGCACCAACTTATTTTTTTACATTGTAAGATATCCTTTTTACCTAAATCGATCGGAGAGAAGCTTAATGACCTCCACAGCGGAGATTCCTACACCCAGACTGAGTTCATTGTGGATGGCACACAGCCATCTGCGACAAACCCGATGGGAAACCCGACGCTGGGTGAGTGTCATTCACCCGAACAAGTAGGATTGAATCAAGATACTCATGAGGCTAAACAGGGACCGGTACAACGAGCGGTGGTACCAATTGGGTTGGATACCTAACCACTCTATACAATGCCTCGCCGGTACTCAGCTACAACTTCGCCGTTGGAGGAGCGACAATCGACAACTCTATTGTGGATACCAAGGTCAAGGACGTGACAACGCAAGTCTGCGACTTCGAGCTAGCATATAGCAAGAAGCCTGTATCTGCACCGTGGTCTTCTGAGAATGCGGTGTTCGGGTTCTGGATTGGAATCAATGAGTATTGCGCCTTGAGATCTCGTTGCCGGCTATGTTCTAACGTTATAACTTTGTAGTATCGGTTGGGGTCATCAAAACACCCAGCCTAGTGTACTTGTGCCGAGATTAATGGCCCAGTACCAACATCTCGTTGAGAGAATATACCTATCTGGGGGACGGAAGTTCCTTTTCCTCAATGTCCCGCCTACAGATCGGAGTCCGATGATCATCAAAGAGGGACCGGAAGCCGTCAAAACATACGCTACGTGGGTGAAGGCCTACAATAATGGCCTTCAAACAATGATCAATGACTTCAAGTCAAGCCATACTGACGTACGTTTTGAGCTCCTGCATTGTTTTCACACAACTAACTTGATCGTAGACTACTATCGTTCTTTACGATACCTGGTCCTTTATGCCGAAGATCCTGGACGATCCTCAGACATACGGATTCCCCAATGCCACTTGTTTCAACGAGAATGGCACCTCCTGTATTTGGTGGAATCATTATCACCCCGGGCAGAACTATCATAAACTACAGGCAGCAGATATGATACAGTACTTGCAGCCTCTTGGTGCTTGGTAGACTGAGGTGTATCGAGATGGATATATGTGGATTACAAAGGGATATCGAAAAGGAGATAGAATAAATTGCATTGTGAGAAATCCTCAACACAGTCTTATAGATGTTAAATCCGTACTCTAGACGGACTTAACGGAAAAAGCGTATTGCATCTGATTGGCCCGGACTAAATATCGCACCACTTCGGCCGAAGTTGACGGACGAACATATCTATGAGGGCCAAACAACTGTGCACTCCTTTTTTGTTCTTTTGAGATTACGTAGGATTTGTTTAAGCTCCAGGATTAGCTTGACTTTTTGGAACTGTTGCATCCCTTTGTCTGTCTTACTCGCGAGATTCCAAATCCCTCGCCACAAGATGCTGCACAACCTGCAGTTACTGATCTGATCAACTCTCACGACAGCTGCATAACCTGCAGGTACTGATCTGATCAACTCCTCTCAAGGCACATCAGTGGACATACACTCCTATCCTTGTATTTTCGCTGTACGGGCTAAGATGGAAAACTGGACAGACCAAGGACCGGCGCGAAAGAGGATGAGAAAGGGCACCAGAAGTTGCACAGAATGTATGTGTCAAATAGTAGATTTGATATGCCTGCGCTAATAACGTTCAATTATAGGTCGGCGACGCAAGATTCGATGCACATTTCATCCCAACCGCCCGACAGTTTGTAATGAGTGTTGGTCCAGAGGCATGAAATGTGTTGATCAAGAACATACGGTTATTACCCCTCCATTATCAGGCTACCAGCGGAACTCCCAACTAGGCGAACAGCCATATAGTCTCCGCGAGCGAGTCGTGCACCTGGAGAACCTTGTCGAGGGGTTGACCAAACGACTAGACCAGCAAGATTCTCGTATTCCGCCTTTTGAGCACCATGGGTCAAGTCAATGTTGGTATATCCGGACGCTCGTGGATTGAAGTTGCGTGACTGACATTATGCAGCGGACGGTGTACAAGCTCATTCAAGGCCACTGCCTACCGAGACTGATGAACTAGGCCCGTCTAGTGACCAGATTTGCAATGCGCCAGTACTACAGCTATTTGATAACTATATCGTGAGCCGCGAAAAGGACTCGTCGAATAATGATAAATTCGCCGGTGTCCAGGACATGTCGCCAAAGGCCAAAGCGGTACGCGCAGAACTCATGTCTCTCCTTCCTCCCGCAGAGGATATGAATAATATCATAAACGGGTCCTTCCATTGGGCTGTGTGGCACGATCATTTCCCAGATATGTTCGACCGACATGCCGACCGACTCGTTTTTAATGAACATTGTCGCGATACTCTAGTGGCCCCCGCTGAAGTCGCTAAGGCGCTCATGTGCCTCTGTATCACTGCGATTCATGCCCCGTCTGAGTTTGACTTTGGTGCTTTAACCGTACCATTTGAGCCGCAAAAGTTCTATGAGAAATGCACTGAGACCGTGGACCGTTTAATTGTCCGTGATGATGACTTCGCGGCTACCTTGCCCGGTATAGAATGTCATATGTTGCTCCAAAAGGTTCACATGACTGATGGCCGGCTCCGGAAAGCTTGGCTAGTCATTCGTCGGGCAATCGAGTTTGCCCACCTGGCTGGAATGCATCTGTCCACTAATGTTCCAAGACCAGGCGATTCTTTATATGAAAGGCGCTTGAAAATCTGGTGTTTCCTGGCAACATCGGATCGACTCCTAAGCTTGATTCTTGGCCTACCTTATGGTATCACAGATCAATTCTTTTTGCCGCAGGCAGAGCAACGTCTCAAGTCCAACTTATCAGCCCCCGAGGAATACCTGTTGCGCATTGGCATTATCACAGGACATATGGTTGACCGAACCCAAGACCCATCCAAGATGACTCTCGCAGCAACTTTACGATTAGACCAAGAGCTGCAGGATTCTTGGAAATCTATGCCAAGTCACTTCCAAGCCGCAGAGCGTTGTCAACACGAGAAACGGGAACACTACAGTGAGAGGGTCCCGTTGCAATTCATGCTCAAGGTACTGCGTGCTCTTCTCCATCTCCCATTGATGTTGCAATCCCCCCATGAACCTCAGTTCCTTCCCTGCCACACGATCGCGATTCAATCTGCAAGAGAAGGACTCATTCTATACAAGGTCCTTCGATCCACCACCAAGCCCTCTTTGTGCAAAATGATCGATTTTATGGCCTTCACGCTATGTCTTCTTTTGATAATACACCTGCAAGGCTATTCCGATGAAAGTCCAAATTACAGTAAAGAGCAAGATGAACGAGACTGGGATATGGTAAAGAAGGTCGTCGAGACCCTTCATCTGGCGGCAACAGAGCTAGGAGGCTCAGTTGCTGCCGAGTCTGCGAACATCCTCGGCGCCATCTACGACACCAGAGATCTCAAGCACGATTGGTCCTCCGTATCGAGCTGCAAAATTACAGTGCCCTATTTTGGTACCATTACGGTCAGTGCAGGAAGTAAATTCTTCAAGGGTCGCTCCAAAAGCAAGGAGCAAGAATCGATAGTATCAGGCACAACGGGAACGGAGGCTTCTGCCTCGGTGCAATGTCCTAGTCAACTCTATACTACGCCGATGTCTGACCTTGAAGGCGCAGCAGGTACCAACACTGACGCCTTGAATGGTGCTTCCATCACACCCACGGTGGCGCCTGGATATCCAGACGAGTCATGGCTTTCGAGGAGTGAAACAATGATAAACTCGCATGCTGGCCTGGAGTTCAACGCGTTTAGTGTACTGTTCGATGATTTTGGGCAGTATATGTGGCCAAACCGCAGTGTTGACCTCGGACTTGATCAGGGCTGGGATCTAAACTGGTCAGATGGTATGCCACCATCATGAATTTAGATACCCTTGTGGCTTTACTTCGTTATCTCAAATCTGTACATGCTGTAAATTAGAACAGTTGGCAATATATATATCATTCTATCAGCTGATTGCATGATCAGGGGCTGGATATGTTGGCCAATACCGGTTTGATCCAAATGGCCAAGTAGTGTTGGTTTCCTGTAGTGTCAATATTATTAAATAACATCTTAATATGCTGTTGACAAAATGTAGAATAGATTAAAAAATAAAAACAAGAAACTAAGTCCAGAGTGGTCTAAAAAGTGACGTTATCGGGGATAAAGGGGTTTATGTAAGACTGTTTTCCCCAGCATCGACCTCGGGACTTGATCATCTCAATGAACCCGTGAAACGACCGTGTGATCCCTGAATTCTTCCCATTTTCCCATTTGATTAGTCTGTTGCTTTTTCTAGTTGCATGGTCCTTGAGATCCCAGTATATCTTTGCTCTTTCAACTCGTTGCCACAACACCCCCCCCTCCCCCAACATACACAGAGCAAGGGAAGATAAACATGACTGAACGACGCCCCTCGGGCTTGGAAAGGAGTCCAACTGCGCCGCCGATTCTCTCAAATGGCCACTTTGCTTCGATCGGCGCCAAAGGCGATGCTGCCTCCTACGAGCACGGCGTGCAGGTAATTGATGAGAATAAGGAGTTCAAGTACGGCAACCTCCCTCTCTTATGGTTCATCTAATTATAAGGCTTCGAAGCTGATCGCATCGCTATAGTCCCAACCTGTCCAAATATTTGTCCCTTGAGAATGTCACATCGGCTGGTTTCAACTACCATCTCATCTCCGTGTTTGGTTCGCAATCCACCGGAAAGTCCACACTGCTCAATCACCTGTTCGGAACCGAGTTCTCGGTGATGTCGGAGCTGGAAAGAAGGCAAACGACAAAGGGTATCTGGCTGTCGAACAACAAGAAGCAGGGCGAACCTGGCGCGGCGGAGCGCATGGCTGATAACATCTTGGTGATGGATGTGGAGGGAACTGACGGTCGCGAGAGAGGCGAGGATCAGGACTTCGAGCGCAAGAGTGCGCTCTTTGCGCTTGCGACGAGTGAGGTCCTCATTGTCAACATCTGGGAACACCAGGTGGGGTTGTATCAAGGAGCCAACATGGGGTTGTTGAAGACCGTGTTCGAAGTTAACTTGCAGCTGTTCCTAAAGGATAAACAGTATGTATCCTTGTGATCGTCCCATTATCTATGCGCTTTGGGTGCTAATCTCTCTACAGTACTACCCACCGGTCCCTCCTATTTTTCGTCATTCGTGATTTCATCGGTAACACACCACTCAAGAACCTGCAGAAGACACTATTGGAAGACCTCTCACGTCTCTGGGACACTATATCGAAACCTGCGGGCCTGGAGAAGTCGACGATTCACGACTACTTTGATTTCCAATTCTATGGACTGCCGCACAAGGGTTATCAGCCTGACCAGTTTGTGACAGAGGCAAAGAAGCTTGGCCTGCGTTTCCGTGAAGGTCACCGAGACCCAAAGAGGGATGCGCTCAAGGGCGAGTTCTCCGAAGGAGGAGTCTTCCTACCTGAGTACCATCGCCGTATCCCAGCCGATGGATTCTCACATTATGCGGAGGGCATTTGGGATCAAATTGTAAACAATAAGGACTTGGATTTGCCTACACAGCAGGAGTTGCTTGCGCAATTCCGTTGTGACGAAATCTTGCGCGAGGTAATGATCGGCTTCGATGAGGCGATTGTCGCATTTGAAGATAAGCAGGCCGAATCAGTGCGTCTCGGTGCACCTGAGGTTCTAGGGGGACTTGGCGTTGCTATGCGTGCTGCGCGCGTCAAGACCCTAAAGAGCTTTGAGACGGAAGCCAGCCGATACCACAAGGGTGTTTACCAACGGAAAAGCGCCGAGCTCCAGGGCAAGGTCGATACACGCCTTAAGGCGCTCTTCCACGGCCAGCTATCTGCAGCTCACAAGTCTGGAATTCGCGACTTCAGTGATTCGGTCACTGCTGCCGTGAAGGATGGCCAGAAGAAGGGCGGTAGCTACGACTTCGCCGAAATTGTCAGCAAGGAGGCTCAGTCTTCATTGGAGAAGTTCGAGGAGGTCGCCCGCTCCACGTTGGTGGATGGGGCTTCCTGGAGCAACTACACTCAGGAGCTATCTTTGTATAAGAAAGAATTGGCCGAGGTCAGTGCCCGACTACGCCGTGATGAAATGAGACGGCTGGCCACCCGCGTTGAGCGGTGGGTTCAATCTCGCCTGGGTGAATCTGTGGGCCTCGAGTTCAATGCCCTCGGGTCCGGAAGAGCTGGCAGTGGTGCCCCTGAGAACGGGGAGAAGCCTGCCGAAAAGGACTTCTGGGATCGGATCTGGAACTTGTTTGAAGATACCGTTCTTGACGCAGAGCGGAGATTCACGGACCGTGCGAGCAGCTTCGATGCTAGCATTGATGAAGTCGATGTTGGCCTTTGGCGACTGCGCCGTAAATCTTGGGGTGTTCTCCGCGCCAAGATTGAAGAGGAGATGATTGAGGGCAACTTGCTCCTCAAGCTTCGGGAGAACTTTGAGGACAAGTTCCGCTATGACGAAGCTGGTGTGCCACGCATCTGGCGCCCAACTGATGACATCGAGGGCATTTACACCCGTGCTCGCGAATCCACCTTGACGCTGATTCCCCTTCTGTCTCGTTTCCGCCTGGAAAGGACGGGTGGCCCACCCCCGCTTGACCGATGGATTGGACACACTCCAAGCACCGCGACATCTGCGGACGAGGAGGATCTGGCCCCCATCGGGGGTGTGGACGAACACGAGGGCAAGAGTTTGGAAGAAGAGACGACCATTCTTAGCGATACGAAGCGCCAAGAGCTCACTATACGATTTAAGAAGACCGCGGACGGTGTCTACGTCGAGGCCAAGCGGAGTGCCATCGGCGGTATGACACAGGTCCCCTTGTATTTCTACGGTTTGTTGCTGGCTCTAGGCTGGAACGAAATCTGGGCTGGTAAGTTTCTATGGATGAATGCTTCATTTTCGCAATTACTGACATATACTCAGTCCTACGCAACCCGGCTTACTTTATCCTGCTCTTTGTGTGTGCCATTGGCGCATACATCACCTATCACCTCAACTTGTGGGGTCCCATACTGAAGATGACCGAGGCCGCCTCCCAGCAAGCTCTGGTAGAAGGCAAGCGCCGCCTGCGCGAGTTCCTCGAATCCTCCGACACTGGTCGTCAGGCGATTGCTATGTCGGCTGGGGAGCGAGCTGGATCTTCAGACCGAAAGGAAGAGTATGAAATGTCGGATATGCAGAAGGGTGGCTCGAACGCTAATGACGACCTGGATGACATGTAACTTTGTTTACTTGCTCTTCTGGTGATCCTGTACACTGTACTTTACTTTCTGTAGCTTCTATATGCAGTACAACATGAACTTTTGACTACAATCTCACCAACAACAGAACCTCCGGCTTTGGTCCCGACTCCATTGATACTCGCAGGTGGAGACACCGCGCCTTCCTGAAAGAGAAAAGATTACAATTACCTCATTAGGATAGGGAAGGAACGACCGAAGGGTATACCGAGGAAGTGATAGGGTCCACTAGCCCATTTTATAGGCAGTATATGTATGGGATTATAGGGGGTGTTAAAACTTATGAACAGTCACGGTAATGTAGGTAAGATGTGACCGGGTCTGTTGTGATATCCAAAGAATCCCAACCTAATCCTCGAACATTGGACATTGAACAAGTTCACACCAAACACATTGAGGATTTTTGTTAGATTCGACCAATTGACCCTCATTACGGGGGTCATACGTCAAAGGCACCGGACTTCCTCCGAGGTGAGGGGTATAGTCATCTATTCCAGGCGCTTTTGCTATATTAACCACGTAGTCACATAGCTTGTGTTTTTCTTAGCACTGGAAAGTCCCGAAAGATGTCTGGCATTCCCAATCTCCCAGAGACATTCGATGATCTCCCCGACAAGCGTCGCTTCTGGCCTGGGACCGCAGGGTCAGAAGAGGAAGGGCTGGGAATGCTCCGCCTTCTAACGCCCGAGTTAGTTGCCCAAGCCGCGCGAACACAAATCCAGACCGGCGAGCGGGTATGCTTAAACTGGAATATGGAGAATCTGAGCCCACCAGGTAAAACAAGGGCACCTGACTGTCGATAAACTATAAAAAAAAACCACAAGACTCACTCGAGAAAACCAGGGTTCGGCCGCAAGCCATTTGAGCACCGAGTTAACTGGGTCGCCGAGGGTGTTGCCTTCGACGACGAGTATCACTTCAACCCGCAGCAATCATCCCAGTGGGATGGCCTTCGGCACCACAATGCGCCAGCACCGACACCCGAAGATCAAGATCGACGTCTTTTCTATGGCGGCACGACCTCGGAGGAAATTCTAGATGAGAACTCGTCACGGATTGGCATTGGATTTTGGGCGAAGAAGGGCATTGCCGGGCGTGGCGTGCTGATTGACTACGTCTCCTACGCGGAGAAGAAAGGCATCAGCGTAAACGCGCTGAGTCGGCAGATGATCTCACTAGATGAGGTCCAGGAGATTGCGCGCGAATGCAACATCAGCTTCCAGAAGGGTGATGTCTTTTTCTTGCGGGTTGGCTTGCCTAGGACGTGGGAGCAGATGTCCGCCGAGGAGCGGGTAACTTATAGTCAGCAGGGAACGCCGCAGCATGCTGGAATCGAACAGAGTGAGCGGGTGCTGCGCTTTCTCTGGGATAATCATTTTGCGGCCGTTGCGTCCGATGCTGTTAGCTTCGAAGTTTACCCGCCTCTGAACGCTGAGTTTGATTTGCATCATTATTTGCTAGCTGGATGGGGAGTTCCTATTGGGGAGATGTTTGATCTGGATGAATTGGCTGCCACCTGCAAGCGTTTAGGTCGTTGGAGTTTCTTCATCTCCAGTAGTCCGTTGAACTGCTCCCGGGGAGTTTCTAGTCCGCCTAACTGCATGGCTATTTTCTAGCATAGATTCCTGAGCACTTTCTTTATACGCACTTCCCCTTTTTTTTTTTTTGGCTTTGAAAGCACATTTATTATAACGCAATTCTCGGCCATGTTAAATATGCCGAAATTCGACCCAATGGAGTCCCCAAGGTCTAAGACCAAGTCCGATCACACTTGGCCTTTAAAGGGGGTTCTGCCACCTAAAATTTATTCTTCCCCCAGGTATGCCGGCCACAATCAAACGGTTGGCTCTTCTGCCCTGCATCCTCCTAGTTCTGGGGCTTTATGTTTACTATCAACCTGAACCACGACCACTCACTCATAATGGAGTACTTGACAAATTTCCTGCTAAAAAGCCAAACCGAGAGCATCTATTTGATGGCTCCTGGAATTATCAGCGCGATAGAGATAACCTGATGCTCACCCAAGACCAATGTGACCAGGCATTTCCCGATCTCTACGCCGAACTTGATCGCGCCAGGGACGATCGCAAATCCCGGCCGATATCTCTCAGGGAACTGGATGCGATCCCAGCCCGAAATGGATATATTCGAGCTATGATATATGATCAGCAGGTAACAAACATGACCATTTCGTACACCCAACTCGTGCTAAGGCGTGATCTAGTTGTATGTCATCGACAAGGAAGGCTCCATTTGGTCCCGAGAAAAAGCCACACTGTCGGCGATAAACCGAGCGATTCTTTCATCGCCGGAGCCGCTCCCTAACATTGAATTTGTTTTCAATACAGACGACTCGGTCGATGAATTGCCCCTTTGGGGGTATGCTCGTCGCGCAAAAGACAAGTCTATATGGTTGATCCCGGATTTTGGATACTGGTCTTGGCCGGAGACCAAAGCTGGGTCTACACGCGAAGTGCAAGCCAAAGCCGAATGGGCGGAAGAAGAAGAAGGGCTGACCTGGAGCAATAAAACGGCCAAGCTGCTCTGGCGCGGAGTGCCTAACATGGGCCCAACAATCCGGGATAAGCTTATCCAAGTAACGAGAGACAAGTCCTGGGCGGATGTGAAGGCACTTGTGTGGAACGACAAGGCCAGTCTGGAAAATGACTACAAGACTATGCCGCAGCACTGCGAGTATCAATATGTTGCGCAGACAGAAGGGAATACATACTCTGGTCGTCTAAAGTATCTCCAGAGTTGCAGGAGTGTGGTTGTCTCGCACGAGCTGGAGTGGATCCAGCACTATTATCATCTCATGAAGTCCTCAGGACCCGAGCAAAATTTTGTCCAGGTGAGGCGTGACTGGTCAGATTTGGAGGGACAAATGCAGCATCTTTTGTCTCACGATGATGAGGCTAGACGAATTGCGGACAATAGTGTTCGAACTTTCCGCGAGAGGTATCTCAGTCCTGCGGCGGAGGTGTGCTACTGGCGTCGGTTGATGCGGGAGTGGAAGAAGATCATTGATTTCGAGCCTGAATTCTTCAAAATGGTGGATGGGAAGAAGGATTGGAGAGGCATCTCCGTGGAGAGTTTCTTGTTGATGGGAGAGGTGGAGTATGACCCCCGGTGAAAGAAACAAGATCGTATATAGGAAAAAAGGAGAGGAAGAAGGAGCAGTATATAGTGATAAGTAATGAGACTACGGTCTAGTTTGGTCCTAAGGGAACGAACCTAGGATCTTTGTCTCATCCAATGAAATATCCACACCAGCCGGGTTATACTAGATCATATCTGTGATTTGCGCATTTTTCGTCCCCTGGAACAGACCCCGAGAGAGCCATGTTTGAATGAAACCGTACTCGGTTGCTTGTTATGAATATAAATGTGGGAGAATGTGCAAACTGGACCAAGGAGGCTTTTTTTGGTTCTTACGTCTTACTGGACATTCATTAGATATCCCCGAGAAGCATCTGTGTTGGTTATGAAATAAAAGCTCATAGTATACAGGGGTATCCTGTAGGATGAATAAGACATATGCATAGCTGAACAGGTAAGAAATCATGCACGCTCAATCGTAAATTGCAAAGAAACCTCCCATCTTTGACCTCCGGTGCCATACCCGCCACCTAGCCTGTTGCGAATCAAGCTGGATATCTTTTCCCGTAGCCGGGCAAGATTATCCTCTGAACCGGTGACTCGGAGCTTGAGGTTTGCCATACATAGCCCATAATGGACCTGCCAGAATCGGGCGTCATCAATCCCGAACACAGAAGGGTCGGCTTCAATATCCTTGATGACATCAGAAACTCCTTGGCCGGAGTAGGACATCAGAAGCATGGAGCCTAGAGTCTTCACCAAGCGAGTTCCTAGGAAACACATCGAGAAGGCAATGGTACCAGAAAGGAGCTTATCGAGCCAATCATAGATCCGGATTGAGACCAGAGGTAAAAGCAGCAGCAGGGTTGAGCAGGAGAGGGTCAGGAAGTGGGAGGGGTTGCTTAAAACCGAAGGAAGGGACTGAATGTACCCAAATCTCATAGCTTTCCCAATTCGAGCGTGGTTCTTGAGGCCGATTGCCGACACAAGCGTCGACGAAATAGCTAGAACTGCAGTCACATCCACGCTACCTAGAGAAACCCGATCATGCTCATGTGGGCGATGAGGCTCATGACCAGACTTCTCGAGGAAATGCTGCAGGTTGTGGGATATAAGATCCATCCCCATAAACAAAAGAAGTACAGCCATCGCAAACCCCGCTAGAACTTCTGCACGTTCAAGGCCGAACGGGTGGCGGATACTCGATCGCTTCCAGACTTCAAAATTGCCCAGCACATCAACCGCAACACACAAGAGAGCCCCGAGTGAATCAAATAGAATCAGATGCGACAATGCTGTCATGGCAAGAGACCCATGTGCGGTCCAGAGTGTGTATGCCGCAATGAACATATGACACAGACTCCACCAGAAGCGGGTCTTTTGGTCTTTCGACATGCTGGACCGGCATTCTTTCAGTGTTGGCATGGGCAGGGAGTTCGGAAGGGCTAGGGGCGCGCGAGGAGGAGGCTCAAGGAAGATCTGGTGCGATATGCTACTGTGTTTGTACTTGTGGCCGCGACGTTGTCCCATATTCTGAAACACGAAATAAGTTAGTATCACCGCTATCACAAGTCATCGGCGCGATTCAACACACCGATTTGATTACTGGGCTCTTCGCCATAACAGTGGTGTTGAAATTGAATGGCCCCGCAGGGGTCGTGTCGCCAGGGCCATTCTTGATCGGTGTCTCTGCATCTTCAGGTGAGGTCGCCAGGTTGAAAGAGGACTTTGTTGGGCTCAGAGTATCTCTGCTTTCAGCATCCATGATACCCTTCGGAAAGGAAGCCTTTAGCGGCGATAGGGAATTGCGATCGATAGGGATACCCGAGTTAACGTGGGAGCCATATTCATCATCCGCTGGCGGAGTGGGGGGTGCGCGGCGGGAGAGGAAGAGGGAGGTTCGAAGCCATTGAGCTGGCTTTGCGAACAGAATGCCTTTATGAATTGGTTGCTATGTACACATCAGTAGGTTGAGGCTGGGGGGTATCAACCCCCCAGACGAGCCCCGGTGTTTCTGCCGATCATCACGTGGGCGGCCTCAAGGTACCCTGAAACCTAAAAGTCTTAGCGCATTCCCCTTAACTATAGCCACTAAATAAGAGATTGAATGTGTGAGAGTAGGTTCATGGCTATTATTTGTACCAAAAGGGTTACGAGTTAGTATCAAAGTTTGTTCTCGGGCTTAAATCTTATTCGATAAAGACCTAAGACATGCAGGATCATGCACAAGTACGACGAACTGCATCAAGGAACTAGATTAACTTGGCAGCCAGTTAGGGAATTTCATAATACAAGTGTCCAACGTTCAATCTTTGATAATCATATCATCGAGGCTAACCTTCAGGCCTTTGCAACCCGAATATCTGGCCGAAATGTAGGCCAGCATTCCCATTTCAAGGTAATCTCGTCCGCGTTCTGGAATTCGAGATGAAAGTGGGCGGTTTTCCATGAGGATCCTCTCAATATAATACAGGGAAGAGTATCCAAATTTGAAGAAAACCGTAAAGGAGAGAATGCAAACGATAAGAAACGAGGAAAAGAGAAGAGAACGAAACGGTTCTTACGGAGTGTATCGGTGCAGTCGCTTAACCACATGGGCTCCAGACACTTGCGTAGGTTGATAAAGATACAGAGTACACTAGAACAATATATATCAAATTGTAAGAAGATTCTCTGTATGTAGTATTTTTCCATACGTAGATGAACATGTGAAGTCAATTTGCTTCGCAACGCTCAACAATAATATACAATTTACACTATTTCAATATATCGCTTGAACTCCCTATAACCGAGTTAGCCTTGCATCCATAAGCACAATATTTCCGACTTACCAATCAGTCACAACCTCTCTCCAAAGACCCAGTTCGTGCTGTCTTGTGGCTGTGAAGAAATCTACGAACTCTGACCCCAGAATCTCCCGTGCAATGCTTCCCGGAGCCGAGAAACGGTCCAAGGCCTTATCCAAAGTATTGGGCAGAAGCTCTGGACGCTCCCCTGGCGTACGCGCAGACATCGGGGGGACCTTGATCTCAAGCTTCTTCTGTACACCCCTCCAGCCCGCTGCAAGGATGACACTCAGCGCATAATGGGGATGTAGATCCGCTCCAGGAATGCGGATTTCCATACGCGTGGCCCCTGGCTTGCATACTGGTGGCGTGATGAGACGGATTGAGGCAATCCGGTCCTCGAGTCCCCAGCTGATGTGCACTGGTGCCCAGTAGTTCTCAACGAGGCGCTTGTATGAGTTCACAGTCGGCGCAAACAGTGGCATGATATCGGGCAGAGCTTCGAGAAGCCCAGCGAGGAAATGACGTCCTGTGTCGGAGAGGTGTGCGATGTCTGACCATTGAGGGTTCGCCTCGGGTGTTTCTCTTGCAAACAAGTTCTTCCCATCCTTGTCGGCAAGTGAGATGTGGATGTGCCCGGAGCTGCCCGGCATGCCTTGCATGGGCTTAGCCATAAAGCATGGTGTAACGCCGTGGTCGACCCCCAGGGATTTGGTTAATAGTCTGTCGACTTGTCAGCTTTGGAGGCGACGGATGATTTTCGGTACTTGCGGCACTCACTTGAACATTGCCACTTTGTCTGCCATTTCACTAATCTCAGAAACCATCAAGGCCTATACAAAGTGTCAGGGTAGTTCAAATGACTTGGATGGATGCCATACTGCTTCATACACACCGGGCCCGCCCTCAGTGTGCCATCCTTCAATGCCGCAGTTGATTTGTGCGCAGGTATTGAAAATATCGTAGAAGTACTTCTTGTTGGCAACCGGTCTCGTTGAGCTATAGCAGAACATGCCAGCTGTAATTGGTCTCAGGGCACTTGGGGCATTTTTTTCTAGGAAAGTAGCGAGGTTGGGATGCTGGGAGCCTGCACTGCCGTATCCGTCTTCGGACGGAGTCTGGAAATTCATAAATTCAAGTTCGACTGCCTGGTATCAGCCTTTGAGGTCCTCTCGCCAGATTTCCCCGTAGCTTACCTCCAGCTAAAGCACGAAGCCCCTCTCCCGCAAGCTTATCGCACAGACTCCTTAACATGCTCCTCCCATCGGCTGAAACCGGGCGTGAATCGTCAAGGAATCGTACTAGGAAGAAAGGAATATTGTCCTCCCATGGCAGACGGCGGAACGAGCTCAAATCTGGAACGGCTAGGAAGTCTGCGTAGCCTGATTCCGGGGGTGCGACACGCGCATCGGTTGTCCATAGCATATCGTGCATATCCCAACCGAAAAGAGCTGAGCTGAAGCCGAATCCCTTTGCTGCAATTCCAAGGAACTTCTCCTTGGCCATCACCTTGCCACGAAGCACGCCATCGCTGTCGATGCCGGCGACTTTGACCTTGATGTCGTCGGCGAGAAGTTTGGGGAGTGATTCGACTGTGATCATGGTAGGCGTAGTCATCCTGGGAAAAAACAATCAACAAAAGCAGCAGGACTAACCGAGTCCAACAATTTGAATTGAAAGAGACATTTCGCCGGCCCCTGTGACTTTATACAATTGCGTAGTGGGCTGTGAGGTTGCGGGTCCAACATGTGGTCAACATTAATGCCGCGCCGCAGCTCAGGTCACGAATAATCCCGCGCGCTTTAGACCGTAGCGCGCAATGTCTCAAAACAATGTCATCGGTGAAGCTATTGCTCTCACGGAGATGCTCCGCGCTCCGCGCTGTGGAGTTCCGCACCCCACGGGTCCACCTGTAGACAGCGCGCTTATTCTCGTGATAAAACCCAGATCAAATATTAAGCCGATGGGTTTATTGTTCATTGTAAATCTAATGAAATGCACATCTCCGAAATGACTTGCACTCGCATCCATATCGCCATCCTCGTGTGTGATACGCCTATCCAGCCTATTGTCACAAAGTATGGCGACTACTTCGCAATATTCCAAGATCTTCTGAGGCAAGGCTTCAAAGACTTGCAAACATCCGAAAAGTGCAAAGATATCACGGTGGAATTTAGTGAACACCACATGGTGGATGATAACCGATTTCTTGATGCAGAGAAAGTCGACGCCGTTCTTTTGACTGGAAGCAGTACGTTACCATTCATTTCAATAGCCGAATGTGGGGGACTGATATCACTTGATAGAGCACGATGCCTGGGCTGATGATCAGTGGATCTGTGATCTCACAAGCAACATTCGTGAGACCGTTTTGACACACAAGAAGCCCGTGGTTGGGATTTGCTTCGGACATCAAATTCTTGCGCGGGCACTGGGAGCCCAAGTTGGGAGAAACGAAACTGGATGGGAGGTTTCTGCCGAGAAGCTCGCCCTAACTGAGGCTGGGAAGACACTGTTTGGAAAGGATACACTGGCAAGTGAAGAAACACCCGAACAAGCTCAAATTGCGGGAGATTCTGATTGAATACAGAGCATTCACCAGATGCACCGGGATATTGTCTTTGATGCTCCAATCGGTTACACGAATCTCGCTACAAGTCCAAAATGTGAAGTTCAGGGCCTTTACTTGCCAAAGCGAGTGCTGTCGGTACAAGGACACCCTGAATATAATGAAGGTATAATGTCATGCCTGCTCGAAGCCAGACACGATAATGGGATATTTGATGATAAACTGTACAAGGATGGTCTATCGCGAGCGGGTGATTCTCATGATGGGTGGTTGATAGCAAAGGTAATTGCAAGATTCATACTGGACGCGAAGACCGAGTAGTTCAAGCAGATATTAAATAAAGTGCTATTGTTATATTGTCACAAGATTGAGATGCAAACAATAAAAGTGGAATTGGAAAAAAAACACGAGTTGTCATATCTGCAACCGCGCCGGCTCCGCGCTATAAAGTCCACCTCTCCCACCTTTCGGCTTTCCACTCTTTTTTTTCCCAGATCAAATACACAACATACGCTATGTCAAACCAAATCCGTACCATCTGTCCCTCAACGCACGAGGTCATTTTTGATCAACCTGGCACTTCACTCAATGAAGCTATCAAAGTTGCTGCGGCCTCAAAGCAAGCTTTTGAGTCCTACAGAACAAGCTCTCTGGAGGATCGAAAAGACATTGTGAAACGAGCACTGGACATTATTGAGCAGCGCCGCGATGATCTGGCCAAAGAACTGACCTCGCAAATGGGGCGACCCATCCGGTACTGTGCCTCAGAGATCAACACTATGCGTCTGCGCGCCGAGTACTTGATGGATATTGCCGAAGAGAGCTTGTCTGATCTCCCTGGTCGGCCAGAAGCCGGCTTCCGGCGAACGGTCAAGCGTGTTCCCGTGGGACCGGTGCTTATTGCGGGTGCTTGGAATGTGAGTGAGCACTGTTAATGAAGTATCCCTAGACTTGCTTATCAATATGATAGTATCCTTACCTGACTACCGTCAATGCTCTTGTCCCGGCACTTCTTGCTGGTAACAGCGTTATCCTGCGCCCCTCGCCGCAGACCCCGCTATTTGGCAATAGACTGCTCGAGGTCTTTACTGAGGCAGGACTTCCACCTCAGGTTCTTCAGGTCATTCATATTGGAAACCTGGATATTTTGGATCAGGTGGCACAGATTCCTGAGATTCAGTCCGTCTCATTTACCGGATCAACAGCGGGTGGTATTAGACTCAGGGAGGCAACAGCCCGACACATCAAGCCCGTCAACCTGGAGCTTGGTGGAAATGATCCCGCATATGTTCGGTCAGATGTCGATGTGAAGCATGTCGCAGAGCAGCTCGTGGACGGAGCTGTTTTCAATTCTGGACAGAGCTGCTGTTCCATAGAGCGGGTGTACGTGCATGAAAGCATTTACGAGGACTTTGTTTGCGCTGTGAAGGAAGAACTGAAATCGTAAGGCCGATTACATTCAAAAGAGAATATCCCCTGACATGCAAACTAGGTACAAACTTGGTGATCCGCAAGATCAAAGCACGACCACAGGCCCCGTCATCTCAACGCAGGCCGTAGAGAAGATCGCTTCTCATGTCAAGGATGCAATTGCTAAAGGAGCTATCAACTCCACTCCCCAGAACCCAAGCTTCGAGGTGACGAGCAACCCTCAGATCCAAAAAGGGAACTTTGTTTCTCCGGTTGTTTTGACCAATGTCAACCATACCATGGCTACGATGAAGGAGGAAACTTTCGGTCCAGTGATCCCAATTATGAAAGTCTCCAGCGACGATGAAGCTGTTGCATTGATGAATGACAGTGACTATGGTCTGACGGCGAGCGTTTGGACGAAGGATATCACTCGCGGAGAGGAGTTGATTGATCGCATTGAGGCCGGTACGGTGTTTATTAACCGTTGTGACTATCCAAGCCCGGTAAGACACTTTGAAAATCTCTAAATCATCGTGCTATTGGGTCATCAATGCTAATATTGGACATTAGGACCTTGCCTGGACAGGGTGGAAGACATCAGGTTTGGGATGCACTCTTGGCCCACGGGGATACGATGGATTTGTGAAGCTGAAGAGCTACCACATCAAGGATAGCTCGGCATGAGGACGCAGGCAGCTTTGAAGATGCTTAGGTAGCGTGATAATCTAGAGTAGTTCAAGAAATTTCAATACCGTTAGTTTTATTCAACTATTCAACTATCTGAGCATGCCTCCTATTAACTCGAAGCTATGAAGACCAAAAGTACACCAAGCTCATAATCATTCATGACAGAAAGCAATACCGATGAGCCCGTGGAGATATTTGCATTACTCTCCAATATATTGAAGCTCATCCAAATAGCCCCACATTAGCGCGGTCCCGGACCGCGCTGCCTTAGCCCCGAGACCCCAACAAAGATAGTCAACGGCAGTCAACGATACGATCGGAGAATGCTTCATGCGGCTAAATGGTTGAAGATCGACCTAACAGCTACCCCTCATGCCCCACGCGTTGAGCTCACCGTCCTGGCGGGGTAGTAGGAGCGCGATGGAGCTTTGAACTTATCCATTTTTGTGGATTGAGATAATTTGAAAAAGGGAAAAGGGAAAAGGGGGAATATCGCGCGTTGTCATGTGGTCGGGTCCAACTTATCATGTGGGTTAGATATCGGTTGGAGGTGCTCCGGTATGGGGATTGTACGATGTAGACTTTGGAGATTGGAAATGGTATAAATTCAGGCCTTCACCAAGGGTCCACCCTCCACACTCTTGTTTATTTATTCTTGTCAACTACTCAAACTGTTTACACTGTTCCGTTCTCCCTAGCTCCTTCTATCATATCACATTTACACAATATCAAAATGGTCGGCCGTCTTGAAGGAAAGAATGCCATCGTCACCGGTGCAGCTGGGTATGTACCTTTATCGAACTATGGCAAACCAAATAGAGATAATTAACCAAAAGCAGAGGCATCGGCCTCGAAACCACAATCCTCATGCTCCGCGAAGGCGCCTCCGTCCTAATGGCCGACATTAGTGACGAAGGCCTGAACAAAGCACTGTCCAAGGTGAACAGTGTCGTGCTCGCCTCAGACCGCACCGGAAAGGTGGAGACCAAAGTCGTCGACGTGTCAAATGAGTCCCAAGTCGAAGCAGCGGTCGCTCATATCGATGCCTGGGGTGGACTGGATATCATCTTCAATAATGCTGGAATCATGCACCCCAAGGACGGAGATTCGGAAGAGTGTCCCGAGGATATCTGGGATCGCACAATGAATATCAATGTGAAGGGTGTGTGGTACGGCTCAAAGCATGCTGTACGCGCATTCCGGAGGAATGGAAAGAAGCGCGCTAGCGTGATTAACACTGCTAGTATGGTTGCGCTGGTCGGGGCTGCGACGCCGCAGCTGGCGTATACCGCTAGCAAGGGTGCTGTGTTGGCAATGACCCGGGAGCTGGGTATTGTCCATGCCCGCGAAGGATTCCGATTCAACTCGCTTTGTCCTGCACCTCTCAAGTATGTTGATGTTGCCCTTTTCCCGGTTAAAGCTTTGATGGAACTGACATTTGGATAGCACACCCTTGTTGCAGGATTGGCTTGGTGATGATAAGGAAAAGCGCTTCCGTCGTGAGGTTCATTTCCCTACCGGTCGGTTTGGCGAGGCGATTGAACAGGCCCATGCGGTGATCTTCCTTGCGAGCGACGAGAGCAGCTTCGTGAATGCTACTGACTTCGTCGTTGATGGTGGGTTGACAAAGGCATATGTTACGCCTGAGGGTCCAGCGACGGAAGCACCAAAGAACTTGGCTGCATGAATGGATGACGACTTTGCTAGTTTGTACATAATATGAGTAACAGAATGACGATCAACATCACGCAAATGAGATCCATATTTGATTTCGCTGCATTGCCCGACAGATATTCCATGGTCCAGCCTCGGACGCAGGTGACTGCCACATTGCTTCGAGGAGTAGAAGTGTTCGATGCATATTCCCAAGACCAAATGTTTCAGTCATGGCATTCAACCGTCCTCGTAGACAGTCCTGTTGGTCGGGGCTGAGAAGGCATGAGCCCACCACAGCGATCGGCCAACAGAGGCCGGAGTTGATGCGTGCACTGGGTGAGAGCTCGCTCAGGTATGACATGGCTTCGGTCACTGCATTTTCCACCATGCCTTTATACATTCCATCCCTGGTATATTGGAAGCCACCCAGGGAGGTGTATAGATAGATGAGTATGGATTCTTGAAAGATCTTTCCAGCCAGATGGACCTCCGTCCCGACATTGGGATAGGGCGACCAGCGCAGAATCTGGGCTTGGATAGATGCGAACATGGCAATGTCATCAGCTGTTGGAACGATCGCCTGCGTATCGTCCATGATCCACTGTCGGCCGAGATCGAAGATGCACGGAATCAGCAGCAATAGTTCCAGCCAGCAACCGCACAAGTTGCCCACGTATTGGGTCTGAAGTAATTCGCGTGACCGTTGTTCGAGGTCCAAGTTTAAGAAAAGCTGCCCGCTAAAGCGAGCATCGATTGAGATCATGCTGACGGTCGCAGTATAGGTGTAGTATTCGATGACGAAGTCTTTCAACTCCCGTGGAACTGCCGAGTCGCTCTGGGCTAGCAATTTGACCAACAGTGAGTTCGCAGCGGATAAATGATCGAATATTGTCCCGTTCATATCACCCTTTGCCGTCTAATTTTGTTAGATTATTCAACACAATATCTTTGAATCATGGAGTCCTACCTCGGTGAAACACATCAGAAGTGCCCCCACTAGGAGCATGAGAGGATTTGATTCTTTCCCGTCGATAAAGTCGGTTACTCCACGGCGGAAATGCTGGAGGGCTTTTGTGTAGTGACTTTGGGCAATTGTATCTGATTCATCCCGTGATCGAAATGCGCGGTGAGCAGCGCTTTGCGTAATGACCAGCTGTAATAGCAAGTCACTAGAAAACGCCAGGGGTACAATCTGTACCAAAAACGGGTTGACAGGCGTGGAGCCATTTGCCATGCAGTCGGCTGTTGTGGCTAGGTAA